GGAAGGCTGACATAGTTAGGTGTACGGAGTGAAATAGCTCATACTATGACCAGGACTCCAATGCCGACTTCAGAGTACGATCGTTATGGAAATCATACGAAGTGCTTTCTTTTGCGAGATATACCCATAATCTAGAAAAATGTACGACTGGATCGGTAAAAAAAACCACTCAGTAAATTTTTTAAATGCTCGAGTTCCGAAATGAACTACATTTTTTGCAAAAATCAGGTTGGGAATTTACAGCAAGAAAATTTAAAGTTTTGACTTGTGATTTCATCATACCTGATACTTATGTTGACTCATGTAAGCTTTTGACCAATCTACTGGTCTTTTCAATAACCATGAATTATGCCAGAACAGCTAGTGTACAGTTTTGCAAGCTTGTTCTGTCTCCAAACATTGTAACCGGCTTTTCTGAAACACGGTGAGTAATGGTTAGATAAGTGCCACTCATTTACCTAAAAATAGTTTACAAGAAAATTCGTAGGTGTATTTGGAGCTAACGAGCACAAATCACCAGGAACTTTCCAAAGGTAACAGTACCAAACGGTCATGTCATCTTTTCGAGCTTTTCTTAAAACTTGGCCTATGTAAGTAACCAAAAATTCATGAAGTGCTTGTACATTTGTAGGTGAATTCCCCACGACGTGTTTCACTCATTGAATCAAATCTGTTCAGTTTCACTAAAGGATTGCAAAAAATATGACGAAAGTGCCAACGGTTCCATAATGTTTTTCCCTCCCGCGCACACGTGCAATAAAACGTATACGTGACAAAGCAACCCCTTGTAAACACCTAACGTTTACTTTTTAGGCACGGGAGCTTTTCCACGAAGCAGGATTTTGGTATAACCAGTACTATCGAGGATGTCACAGACTGGAAGGAATGACTGGGCTACCCAATTTGGTTGCACGGCTTACCTTCGAATACGAGGGCCTTGGTGGAGCAAGTTCTAACGAAGCATGTTTCGAAGAACATGCCAAAAAGCTGGAACAACTAATTCAGAGGCGTTTCAACCGGAATTCGCTTATATCACCCGTTTTCATTGTACAAGGTGAGTTTTTGCTCAGCACCTGTTTGTGTGATCTTTCAAAACAAGACCTCGAATACACACAAGTAATCTCTGTAAAAAGTATGGTTTTTAAATAACGTCGGTTTTAACTTGCGACGATTTAATTCGGAATCTGTAGATCATCCACAATATGCTTTATTGTTATCTGGCTTTTTTGTTACAGTAAATGACTTGACAGAGCGCTTCAAACTCACTGATCCTAGTCAGTTGGAACTTCATCGTAGTAAGTGACAGTGCCGCTAAGTCATGTTAAACTGACGCCGGTTAAATATGCCAGGCATTTTAACGATTTTCTTTTCCTTTTACTTGTTTAGGACATCTGAACAAGTACAATCCAAGCTGCTTTGATCTTAAATGGGGAGTGTTAAGTAAGTGTTTAACTCTACTGTTCATTCTACTGTTTGATATGGAAAATATTATAAGAATGTAAAGTATTATAATGTACATTATGGGTTAACATAAAAATTGTCCCATTACTGATGAAGCACTTTTTGCAATCACATTTTTCAAGAAAGAGAGCTTTCTCAATCAACTGCTTGGTGTCAGCTATAGTGGTTTCATGATTCACTGTCGCCGGTGAGCAGCGACTAGAGGAAAGAATCGAAAACAGTATTGGTCACCTTCTACTGTATTATCGCACCCCTTAGTCTGGATGTCAGGTCGGATGATTCGTGTACTTGCTAACACAACTGACACACAACTGAACTAGGTTCCTGAGAGTACATCACTGAGGCCATATTACTCCGGAATATTTCGGTTAGAGCCATAATAATGCAAAAGAGCTGCATCACGAAGCTACATCACGAAGTTGATAGAAAGCAACTTCATACACCAGAAATTACTCAGAAGACTTTTCATAGAAACGGCTTCCAAATTTAAGGGCTTTTTAGTGGCGATTACTTCAGGATTTCCCCGACAAATTCATCCCTCACCAAGAACGAAGCCAGTTTAGTGTTCTTTCATAGGAACTGCTCTAAATTCGATATTTCTCGAGGCATCACCACTGCCATCTCCTACAAAACGCTTGTGAGATTTATGAGTCAGCAAAATTAGAAAATTTGCTCTGAGCTTTCTTATGGGGTGTGAACATCTAAAAATTCTTGGAAGGTTTGTTTATACATGGTCTAAGGCCTTGGCGCGTGTTATTACACTGTATACTATCTTTATTACATTGACCGATTTCCTGGTCATTGTTCGTTAGGTGTAATGAAGTTTCTAGCCAGTACACAAAACGCCACATCATCTCTCAAATAGGGACAACAGAGTGGCCCCTGCAGTTTTCCCATGCGGGAGACAAATATATAATTCCGCAGTCACGGATTAAAGCACGTGATCAAAGCATTTTGGTTCCAAAATTTGAATGTTACTGGCCAGTTGGATTTATTTTGCGCAGCGGCCATTACGTACCTGGTGAACCTGGACACCTTTACTGTTGGGCTAAGAACAAATTCGGTGTCAAATATACACGCAACTGGGTAGATGTTTGGATTTTGGTGACAATTTTATGTGTACATCCAATGAGGCATGCGACAAAGAAAAAGAGACAAGGCAGCCACATTGAAAAATTGCACAAACCGGTTTGTATAAGCCTAGCGTCTTACCACACAGAGACTTGAGAACAAGTAGTGGCTCCAGGATATGTTTTCTAAGGGTTTTTGTTGTTCGAGTAGAAGGTTCTCACTTAGGAAGCGATGCATTCCAACAAAACAGCGTGACCGTTTTTCAGTGAATACATCTACAGTCCGCACTTCTCAAATATAGGGGCAGTTGTTGTTTGAACGACAGCCCAAAGCAGGACAGGACAGATAAATATTTCATCGCCGCTTATAATATATTTATATCACTTGTAGATCACAAAGGCTATCGTTTGGTTTCGGAAATAGAGCGCTATTTACTTGGTAAGTCACTAATATTCCTCAGAAATATTGATAGGTAGGATTATGAACGTGCAGTTAGAGTTGACTGTAGCTTGAGGTTCACATGTTTGAGTTGATTTCTGAATAGAGAGATCTCACCAACCCGTCATTCTGGATCTGTCAATGAGTGTGCATCAATTTATATTGCGAAGAAACTTTGTTTCTGCAGACTAATGCAACTATCTTTTTGTCGGGAATTATGTAACAACAAGTGCCGCTTACGACTTCAGATGACGGTGTAAGAATTCACTCAACTGTCTACGCCAAAACCTGGCATTATTTGATTGAACGGACTGTATTTTACACGCTACCATTCGTTAGTGTTGCTTTGCTTTTTACTCAGAGCTGGGCTCGTTGATTAACTAAATCAACCCAGCATAACGCATGATGCGTCTTCGTCACAAAGTCAAAAATATTTGCGAATAGACCCTGATGTAACGATGGCCAGCGTGCCTGAAGGTTTTTTCGGACACCGGACGGCCCAAGTGAATTGGCACCACGCCAGTCCATCACGCAACTAAGCAATCATCAGGAAGGTCAGATTATTGAAAGTAACCCCAGAACTTCTGAAATCTACTTAGACCCTAAAACTCAACCAAAATCTCAACAGGAAAGCCGGCAGCATCTGGGCCAGTCAATCGTTTAATCAATTTGGCAAAAACTATTGGGTGTTCACCAAGCGCCTATCAGACAGCTTGGGTCAGAATGTGCCCTTTAAATAGCGCAAGGCCGTCGTAATCTTTACACTTCCATGAACTCGCTCACTTGTTAGGTTTATAACTGATGTCCTTCCTTCTGCGAGCCATTTTTCCGGCACTAGGCACTGGAGTGGGGTCAGCAGCGGATACAACAGATTGGCGAATAAGCAGATAAAACAGTAATATGGTAAAGCTCCATAAATTAAAGTATGAGCTTCTATCTTATAGTGGGGCGAATTTGAACTCATGGACGAGTGTCAAGTCATGAAACCCATTACATTCGTCGCTCTCTCTAAGTCAGCCCTTATTTGCCATTTACATCGGCACATGGCGCGATTAGCTTCCACTCCGTTTGACTTAGTCAGTCCTATGTTCAAGAAGATATTGCTCATTGCCTTACAGGCTTCTTTATCTTTGTAAGGTAATCGATAAAAATATAATCAGAATTGTTCAGTTTCACATCACTTTCGTTTTGAACAATCGTCCTCCTGTCCTGGCACAATTATTCAGGCTAATCCACACCAAAGGGGGGAAGCACTGGACCAGATTTTCTCTCTTCTTAGACCTCATCAGCAGTGCATATCCAATGGCCATGCCGGGGTTTGAACTCCGGACACCTGACATGCGAGGCGAATGTGTTACCAGTATTCCACCAGCGAATGTTGGGCGCATCTGAATTCTCAAGTCTGAACGGGCGAACGTGTTCTCACTTGAGCGATGTGACTGGTATGCCTGACACATAATCGATACGACGACCCAGTGACTGTCCTGGTTGTGACGATCGATTGACCCGCTTGTCAGGACTTCCCAGTCAGGTAGCGCCATAGACGCTTGAAACCAGCTGAACAACTTTTGTTGATGCTTGTGGGGGTTTTGCGGGAGATGTATTGTTCAGTTCAAAACGAGTTCAAAAGAAGAGTGATGTAAAACTGAACAACACATTTCCCGCAAGACCCCCACATAGTCAGAATTGTCGGCCCATGTTCCTCCCTCTAATTAAAACGAACGCCAAACCAAGAAGTTCAGAGATGAGGTCTAAAACATAATCGGACATTTCGCCTACTTCAACATTTTCCCATATTTAGGACTGCTGTAAGTTGAAGGGCACAGCTGCACTTATTGCTAAAAGCTCAACAAAACTCTACGGGTAGTCGTTTGTTGACAAGGGTTTCTACCACAATTCCTTCTCTATCCCTCTTTGATAAGCCTTCATTCCGTGCGCTGTCGATGTGAAGGGAATCTGGGAAGCCAGTCGTCATGACTATCGGTCTACAGCCAACGGCGTAGTCAATATTGGCACTGTAATATTTTAGTATGATAGTAAGTTGGTCAAGCGGCCGTTAATCGAATATTGAAGCGGGTTAACTGTGACGGATTTTACTCAGTTTAGTGTAGGCTTAGAATATGTGCAACCGAAAATTCAGGTCTCCATAAGGCAGTGTTTACATCGAACATTGTGTGCATTACTGCATTTAGAAAAAGGGACCAGCTTGTTGTTCCAAATTACAGTCAAATTAACCATGCATATCACCCTTTTTTGGAACTCGACTAGACACTTCGCAGTGACTGAGGTCAAAACACGAAAAACTCAGCAGCACATGACAGACAACATCTGGATTTCTCTCAACTGCCCAGATATAAAGTTTTAACAACGCTGAGAACCGATATTTCTCTAGAAGTTACTTGAACATGAAACTCAAAGTAATACCTAACAAAATGGCATACTTTTTAAAGCACAATGAGACATCGAAAATCCAGAAAGCCAGTTGAAAGCGAGCCACTTTTTGCGTGTATGATTTTCAAGGTGGGCCAGACACGCATATGTTTTGAAAAAATTCTTGTGTGAGAGAGAGCGGATTTCATGCATAAAATCCATTCACACAATAGTGTAAAGAATACAGATACCTATGTCGCGAGGACCACTGAAGACTACTGTGAGTGCGTTTCAAACCAAACGACCCATTTTTAAGAACCGCTACTCATTGTATTTTGTTTGACCTGGATTAGCTGAAATGACCACACCACAAACTGGACAGTTTGTGCAAATTTCTGCATTTCTGCTGGATGCACAAAGATACCAAGATCGCGGTATTCAGTCAAGGAAATTAAAAGAAGCCTACTGATAGTTAAAACCATACTACGAAATCCTTTATCTGACCAAATTGAGAAATCAATGAATTGATAACATATTCGGCTTCAGAACGCAATGTCGAAGAATTTCGTCAAACACCACACAGATTAGTGTTAGGTAAAAGCGATCGCACTTGTTCTACTTTGTGTATAAAAGTGTTAAAATACAGACCACAATCAGGTTGATGCAAAAATGTCGACGATAACGTTTCTTGGCGAAAACTGCACAATGTATTTCTCACGAACCTTTGTCCGTTTTAAACGAAGCCCATGCCTGGGAGTAAGGAACAGTCGCTGTTGCCTTCCTTGCTTGTTTACTGTTACTCCGATAAAACGCCCACAAAGAGATACAAACCTCGTCAAATTTTGAACGAGTCAGACTACTACATTACAATTTTATACGGAATGGGCAATCTTTCTGCTGACTACGATGTCCTTCAGCTTTCGGAGCTCTGATCTTTGGAGTTCACTTGCTGAGTTTCGGTCTACTAAAGCAAGCAACAGAGAAAAGGATATGGGTTAACTTTATTAAAATTGCAGAACAAAACGAGAAGACAGGAGCCTCAAACTCGCAACTTGCTTTATCTTTAAACATTACAGCCCTGTCTGAGATATGTACACTTTGATCTGTACTCCATACAACTCAAAACGGTGCCTATCGTATAGCCTTGGGCGTTCTTATTGACTGAATATGGTAAAGCAAATTGGTCTGCCAAGGTCGTGTTATTTATTTTATATCACTATTCTCTCGACGGAATCAAAGTCCGCTTTATGGAGAATCTATTCAAAGTTACAGGCCAACATTAGAGACGTAAATTTTTAATTGGCTGGCCGCTCAGATTAAACCAGAATGGAGTTGCACACTCGTAAAATCTATTCACCCCCATCATCAGTCGATGTTTTACACCATGCACTGTGAAATTCACGGGTTACTTCTTGCATCAAACGCGATAACGTAAGTGTGATTTGCAGAACTGTTGTTCTAAACTACCGAGAAACGGATTCAGACTAAAATGTAACCACACAAGATGACACTAATCTAGTTAATTAGTTAAGACTACACCGGTTGTACATCATATCAAGTCTCCTCCCGCTACAAAAATGCTTGAAAGTTAAGCCATCCAGAAATATTACGGCATACGAGCAGAAAATATTTATTAACCATTTATCCGAAAATATTTCGAATATCGGAGGACGAACGGTGCCACTAGGCCTTAGCTTCTATGCTCCCTCTCTGAGTACCGCACACTTGATACCGGAAATCGATTGATCATTGGGTCGCTTCCCATAAATGTTCTGAACACTACTGCGCGCAAAATTACTTCATAGCACATGGCCTAGTCACTGTAGCTCTTTGGTGGAATCGCAAAGCCGCTCTTCTTAGTTCTAATAGGATTTCAATCATATGAGCATTAACAATAGAAACAAACACCAATTGTTGCGAAGCCGTAGTTTTTATCATTCTTTCGCACTTCGCGAAATCACAAGATCCTTCATAGGATCGCATGCCTGTTGCTCAACGAAAATATTATCTTGATAATTTTGTTTCATTAACACAAAGTTTCAAAAGGGATATTTAAAAAATCTGTCCACTGCTTTTCGTTTTCAGTGGTCACGCTGAATGGCTTTGTAATGGATCCAATAAGGTGGAGTTCCGCTGAAGAAACCAACACGGTGTATTATTCCGTCCTTCGGGCATATTTGTCCACATCAGTACGTTATCTGCATTTCTCATGGTATGAAAAGAAGCATAAAAGTGAATGAAGCATGTTTTTGGTCCCTGTTACTCGTCCACTATCCAGGTGATGCTTGGTTACAGCACAACTACTTTTGATTTGCATCGAACTCTTGTGTCTCATTTCATAAACATATAACTTACAGCATGTGATACAATGGTATTATCTGTGATAGGTTGCAAAGCTTCAGATGGTGAGCCACGTCGCGCAAAGTAACAAGTTTAGTACAGCCCTGTGGCTTGTGAAATCCCAGCTGACTACATGTAGGCAGACGTAAAGTGAGCGGTGCTCTCCTTAAATCAGTTCACTGGGAAGAAAACATCTACGTTAAGGGTTGCATGATTAAGGACCCCGAAGCATTTGCCCTGATTTTTTGTGAACTTACCTTACAAGAAACGTGTCGATAGAGATCTTCAAAGGATGAGAAGGTGTTCTGAATCTCATTGCACTGACTTACTTTCGAGCAAGGAGAATACCCGTGCCTGTGACTGAGAAGCCTTGCACACAACATCTAGATAGGTTGCCTCATCAGGGAAAAGCAATTTCTCGGCCAGTGCTCCAAATTTTGATTCCCGCACATCAGTTGCGTTACACAGCACTCGTAGTTTTCGTCCATAACTTATGTGCAACAACGTGATGCACCTAATCACAACAAACAATCGAGTTCAGCATTCGCTACTTACTTATGAAAGTAGGTAGATTGTTCACCACCACCCAAAAGGGGGCTTTACATTAGTCAGTCCTGTGGTCTGAAACTATCACCGAAAAGTTCAGTAACCATCATTTTTTTCTCGTGAAACTCACTTTCCACCCAACTGAAATCCGCAAGCATCCGCAGTCGAGCCATTTAAAATAGAGATGCTGATGTTACTTTTCTGTTACATTTTGAATGCATTGATCCAAACGAAGTGTTCCTCACCATTGCATTCTGAGATGAAGTTATTGAATGTCAGATCGGATGCACGATAATTCCTCAGAAATGGCGGTGAAAAGCGTATCGTCAAACCTTTTCGGTGAAATCATATATTTGATTACTGCCAACAAGGAACATTCTCGCGAATTCCCAGTCAGCCACTTGACTAAGGATGTTTTGATACAAAAACAGTTTCTAAAGTCGGACGGAGCTTTTGCAGATTTGAGAGCAGTTCCGCGTAAATTAACAAATAAAGACTCTATCGAGAGTATTTGTTTTTTACTGTTTTGTATTGGGCACGAGTAACCAGGAGTGAAGCGCACAGAAGAACGGTACCAATGAGATACTTTTGAATGTCTATCACAAAACAGTAAGAGAACTTTAAAAATATATACTATATAATCGGATGCTCACGGATGCTCCATGTTATCATTTTTCGTAGTGTAAAAAATGTGCAATTACTCTACACTCATGAAGAAAACAATGTCCCAATAAAATACAAATACGTAGGGACCGGTTGAGAAAAGTTTACAGTGAAACCGTAAAAACGTGGTAGACTTTATTGCCAAAGTAATTAGGTACTGCGGTCGATCTCAAACAGAACTGTCATGGTAAACTTACGGCGAAAGTAAAATTGTGTATCTTTTGCCTGATGCTTCCTGTTAAGTTTACGCAAGTACACGGCTTTTTGTTTACAACAATTTTAAAAGGTTTACTGGATCTTCCAGGGTCCTAAAGAGTTGGGACCTGTAAAATAAGCTTGTTGTGTCATGTCCAGAAGTTATACAGATAGCGAATTGCCCCATCAGTTCGCTTTCTATTCTCACAGTCCGGGAGTCGCCCGCCCACTACCTATTGTTACTGGTCTTACGGAATACTGCTTGAAATTTTGAAATTCTGCCCCAGAAAACAGTGAGCGCATATTGGTTTCGGAGTTACATTGGCTTCTGGTTTTCTAAGCGACCGTATAGTAGTCCAACCAACGATCACCTAAACCGTATGTGCACCCATCTTGCTCAGACGAATTTCTCACGTCACAGTTTAAACTCGTGTTTTGGTCGAAGACTGTTAGTGAGTTTGACTTCCGAACAAAGCACAATAATTCATGAGCTCTTATAAAGTCTGTCCCCAGATATGTGCACTTGCAGTTGCGGACTTTCGTGTACAGCTTTTGGAACCACTAACGAGCAGTGAGTTGACCAGCTTGAGTGCACTTCCCCCACATACCAAGTGATTACCGTAGAATTTTAGGGACAAACAAGGATAAATACTTCTATGGTAGCAAATAATCCCAGTTTTACCAGTATGATGCCATAAAACAGGACTCATTCACGCCGAAGTAATCTGACTATAGATATCAACACAGGGGTTGATACTTCATCAAAGAGCGTATGCGCGTGCTTGCTGGTGCACATGACGTGCTTTGAAAGGTTTGGTTAAATACTTTTAAATGATGGTCCGTGCTCGAATACACCTCAATATTCGACAGGTGTCTTCTGACTTATGACCGAAAGCGAACTAAAATAATGTGTACTACATTATGTGACGGGAAGTTTTAAATTAAAAAGGATTACATAGCAGCTGTGCAGCTGTCGATCTGACTCTTCATAAACAAGCCATCGTTAATTGAGGAACACTTCGTGGGCAACAACGCATAAATTAAATAAATCCAGACAAACTGAACATGCACACGAAATTGATACTGACAATCGAATCGAAAATGACCTTAACTTCAGCTCTCCAAGACACTCCAAAACATGAATTTGCTTCGCTCTGCATTAACCATGGATCCAGTGGGTTTTCCGATGCAGGATCAAACGAGCGCACTTGAATGTGACATCAAATTGACATTCGACTTATTCACTTTGGGCGCCGAATTGGCAATCACAGACGAAGAAACGATTGTAAGCACTGTTATAGCACTGTTGGAAACAACCGATAAAATGGATCAAGCTTTCAACTTCCGCGTGACTGGCAAGTTGCTTTTCTATACGACAACGTTAAATGACCGAAAATGAATCGTTTGTCCTATTTCAATCACGCTTCATAACAATTCTTGGTAATGAACTCCAGTTAAGTTAAGCGATTATCAGTAAGTCCCCTGAAATTAGATTCCGAGAAGGAAATGGCTCGCCGAAGAGTATTTTCTTTCGTAGGGCACTTTCTGTTCCGTGACCGCTTCATAACAATTCTTGGTAATGAACTCTAGTCAAGTTAAGCGACTATCAGTAAGTCCCCTGAAATTGGGTTCCAAGAAGGAAATGGTTCGCCGATGAGCTTTTTCTTTCGTAGGGCACTTTCTGTATCGTGAATTCAACTGTCCACTACAGTGATATGTCACTATTCTGATTTGGCTGTAGCATTTCACACATTCGATTAAGAAAACCCCAGTACCTGGCAATCTGGTGATCCCTTGATAAACCAATTTTAGCTGGCTTTTTGTTGGTAGTAAACTTGGAATACAAAATAAGGCTCACTGAAATTGGAGACAGAATATTTCCAAGCAAGACCTAACTGTCAAAGAGGTTCCATCGACTTTCTGAGTGCTGTCACGTGGGGAAGCAATTTTGCATTTCTCCCTCTGTTTTCCATACTCGAACGATTAGCTTTCGATAGTTTCCCCGAAATACACTACCAAGTAAGATGCACCAAATGAGAACGAAACGCATATCTTGTTCAAAAACGTTGAAGACTCAAACGAAATGTCCGGTTTTTACGAAGGGATCAATAAAACTATCAGTCCAGCAGTCTCGATATTGAGCATCATTTTACTACATGCTCCGGTAAAGATGCATTTGTCCATTTACTTTGATTTAAAGCTTCTTCCAGTGTATCCAAGGCAAATACCCAATAACCACACTTCTAGTAGTAAATACGTTTCTTCACTACATTTTTCCTCAAGGAACGGCAATCGAATTCGCGAAAGACGCTATCGGTATACCACTTCTGCCCCAGCGTGAGTCATGAATACCCAGACGTATATTTTGTATGCTCTGTTCCTTCCTATATGTGAATACCCCTGTTTACTTCTCGTTTCATCTGCGATGTACTACGATCACGTGATTTCTAACGTATATTACAAGAGATCCATTTTCAAAAAGTGAAGCTTTCGACAAAAGCCGCAACGACTTTAAAGTATGGCACATACTAGAAATCACGAGTCACTCCAAAACCATGAAATACCACCAACCAATTTTTTCCTGTTAGACGGAGGAATTATAAATCATTTGTCGTAAACCATGTACGTGGTAATATAGCTGGAGACCGTAATCCACCGTAGTTCATCATAGTGACATCCTTCAGTGCAATATAGGGGACGACATCGGTCCACAAAATCCGCTGCACATATTTGCAGTGAGTAATTCAAGTGGCCTTTTGACGGCTAGTGAACAATGTTCCATACTACCTGTATCAGAATATTGAACACCAACTATTCTATTCTGGGTCGACAAACGAATATGACTGTAAGAAGGATGAGGTAGTGTATAGGGCAAAGTAAGACTTTAGATCATACTGGCAATTTGGGAATGCTAGCATTCTGACGAGACACATTCACCCTCAATGAAGTGTGTACGGTCGGGATGGCCATATCTCCAGACTGACTTTTAAAACGAGCCGATAATTAGTGCCCTAAAATGAATATCTATGTAGATGACATGCTGAATCTACGTTGTTTTCCTGAATCGTTATTACGAACTGACGTCTCCTCTCTAGGGATCTGAAACTGAATAATTATAACTGGCAGAGTTATCTTTTTCAGGTAGCGAAACGTCAGTCGAACCAAATCAGATTGGTGAGTTGAATTTTGCCATATTACTCAGTGATTCATCTGGCGTTTCCCAATTCACACAACCGAGGGTTTACTGAAAACCCCTGCGTACTTTATTCCTTCTAGACACTTGTTATGTTATACACCTATAAAAGGTAGGAGAAAGGAATCAACACCTATGTACATTTCGAGGCGATTTATCTCCTGGACAGCACACAGAATTATAATAATGCCGTGGAGGTAGCAGTTCACCGTCGTTGTTCTTACTTTTAAATGTTAAAGCAACGAGCGAATAAGTTCATCTGGGAGGGTTAGGTAGTCTTTAACATGCGCCTCTGGCTCGTACTATATTACACACTGTTTATGCACCGTTTACCTCATAGAACCCATCATTTTACGCCTTGCCGCGTGATTCCATTGAACAATAATGTGTACTTTTGTTCGCAGAATGCATGAAGTGGAGTGATTTGATATTATTCTAACCAAGACAACCGTTTAAGTTTTTTTAATTCTGCCAGAGGTGCAGTGAAGTCGACCAGGGCCTAAATGCGTAGTAGTGCTGTAAATTTGTTCTAGCCTTATTAGGAAGCATTCAGTAATGCGTATCTCCTTTGAGCTCCCAGCAAGAGGCTAGAGAGTAAACTGTTCGGCCAAATGCTGCCGATCGGTAATGGGGATACCTCGCACCTAGGGTATAAAGCATTCAATCACGGAATTCCAATCACCTGATTATGTGCTGACTGGCCACTCAAATAATGATCTTTTAAATGGAATGTACAATGGACGTGTGAACAGCTATTTCTTCTGGACTACCTTAAGTTTAATGTTGTTGTTGTTCCTTCACTGTCACCGTTGTTCATTCACCGTCTGCTTGCCCCATACATATTGCCATTATGGTCGCCCCTTCTACTTGACCTGAACCATTAAATATTTGGCATCCGTGAGCTTTTGCGTGGGTGTTTAGTGAGAGATCGCAAAATGTTTGATGAGCTGTGCCCAAGAATGTGTACGAGGACATTCTGCATTGCAAATTTAGCCTGGTTGATTGTTTCAAGCACTTTTGGATAGCTTGACCGTTGTACTTTTCTGTTATTGCTCATTAACAACGAAACTCGTCTAATTTATTCCTGATTCCACTGTTGTTAATGATAGACTTGTACCTCTCGAAAATACCTCCACGTAAGTAGTAACACGACCATACTTTTATACTACTAGCTTCCAGTGAATTCGGTCCGTCATCAGAGATCCTCTTCTTGTTATATGATCTGACACTCAAAGCTCTAACAACACAATTCTTGTCGCTGATTTGATCACTGGGGAGAAAACAATGAATCAGTTCATATATCCGCCATGCACTCTGTGGTAATATGCCCATGGCAATTTCTTCCTACTGACATGCCGCATTTATTGAATTTTCTTCCTAATATGTTAGCTGCATGTGTAAATTCGGAAGTGTCAAGCGATCTTTTTGCTTTCGCGCTGTTAAGTTCAACAACGTTATCAGATCTTGGTGCAACTGCCTTTCGTAAACAGATTCATTTTAGACAGTATCTGGATTAATTTTCATGCCATCTCTGTGAGCATCAAACGAACCGTTCCAAGGGCTGCTTCATACGCAACTCACAAAATAGGGGCCGATGAAACCTACGGAGCTACAAAAACAACCGTTGGTATCACGGTAAAACCGGCAGCATTCAATCAGAATGCGTGGCAGACGGAGAGTCAATTTCGAATCAGAATGCGTGGCAGACGGAGAGTCAACCCATTTCATTAGTCGTTCAGATTCCTCTGGAGTGCAAACAGTCGAGGAAGATTGTCTTTCTCCCAGAAGTTAACGTGCATATGGCGTCAAGAGTCAAAAACAGACGCATGATGTAGTCAGATAACTCGCGGTTTCATCTACCCAAGGTGACTAAGTCCGCAAAATCCCCTAAGGGTTCCGAAGAACCACGCGTTGACTTTTGGAAAATTTACAGACAGCCGAAAAATAACGCACCTCGAATATACAGACGATTTTGATGTTTGGGTGAAGTTCAAATAAGTGTTAGAATGGTTACGAAACTCCGCTCGTGTAAATTTGAAGTGATCATTTTTCATCAGCCAGATATTGGATGATGCCTGAGAAACGCTCATTCATGGTTAATGATTACTGATAATGTTCGTCTGATCGTTAGAGTTTGATAATTCGCATAAGTGAATTTAACAATACAAAGCAACACAATGAAGGTAAGACATAGTCAGTAACAAGAGCTTACCACACGATCTAGCAGACTCAGTTTGGCAAAACCCAGTCTACCAGTGAGGTTTAGACGAAATGGCCGTGAAAGTTGGCCAGTAGTTTTACAATCATTTTTCCGGAACTATTTGCTTGAGCTAATTGTTTTAATAAAAACACAAGTTTAGAGAACCTTTGGCCTCCACCGCTTAAACGGTAGAAATAAAAAAATGCTAGGCTTGATTCAGCTAGGTGATTCAGATAGGTGTCCAGTTGGAACGAAATTTGTACGTAAATGTGTGGGTTTGATGACGAGTGGAATTCCGGTCCAAGATAATGTACGGTTGACGAAACTATCTATGCTTTTCGGGCCGAATTATGAGGATTGTTTTGCTGAGAAAACATACTGCGATTTCTGGAACATCACGTCAACTGAAACATTAGGCTACATTTGTGCAACACATTTAGCTGGAATGGGATATCCCGAAAGGGACGTAGTTTAGAGACTTTTTAGCTTAGATCAAATAAGCGTACAGGCGAGCGAAGTTCGTTATTTTTCGTGTCCTTTAAATGTAAAGGCTTTCATTTTGAATTTACATTGCAAACTGTTTATGCCAGGTGTAGCTTTTCTCTGGTGATCTAAGCGAGCGTGATTGTCAACGCCCAAATTAGTATGAACCCCGATTTGATATGTAAATAAATAAATATGTCAGCTCATCACTGTTTGTTCAAATTTCACCACACCAATAGTGAAATTTTTTCCTAGATTTCCAGGACGTGAGTGACCCAAACCCTGAATAACCTGTTCATTCATATGTCCATTCATTCAGTTTAGTTTAATTTTTCGCATCATTTGATGAAAATAAAGAAAGCTCAAATTACCACAACTTTGGTTTTTGACGAAATCAATATTATTTTGTCGATTTGCTTGGTTTCTGAGGTCACTCTCTATAATTTCTATGCCAGAGTGCAGTGGTTGTATCAAGTACTTCATGAATTGCACGACCAAATGGTCATCCATTATTCTGTTTCTTGCTTTCTACCGACTGGGGATACTACCTTCGTGCGTCTCTGATACTCAGTGTGCTCTCTTTCAGACGATTCACAGAACCCACCTGACTGACTTCCATGGATATGTCGTTTGGTGGCCGTGCCTAATCGATCGACGGAACTCACGTGCTCTAAAACCCGGCTGGGTTCTATCACCACCAAAGCTCACCCTGCTCTACCAAAATATGCACTCGTATGGTCACAAATGACAAATATTTCCACCGATACCTTTGTGCACACAGGTGTCCGTTGTCCGTTGTCCGCTTCGGATAACAGTCAAACGTCGTCTGAGATTTGAAACATGTTTGCGGTTTCATCACTTACACGGGTCGTAAATGACGAAACAATTAGACCTGAAAATACACGAATGCAATACGGAGTTAATCGGTAGCATACATGACACAGGGCAACATCTGACAATTAGATCGTAGTTGAGTGACCTTGATGGAGTGTGCACGGGATATACATATACGTATATATATATATATATAAACTTATACATATACATATACATATATATGATGTTTACATAAAGGGCTTCATCCGAATAATTCTTTCTTTGAAGATGCAATCTGATAAAAAGTGGTTCACTTTTACACTTCCTAGCAAAATTGTGTTACCTGACGGGACCACTTTTATCTGGTAAGTCTTAACACTAATATCGCCATCGCATATAATCTGTCCGTAGGTCAGCAAAAATGTGCTTGCTAAACCAAGCTTGTTTAACAATGTTTGTTCCAAAAAATTTCATATTTTGAATCGTTGTCAGATTTGGTGCGAGGGAGTCCTGGCGTGCCTGATTTATCGGGTAAGTAGCTTACTGCTTTTCAGTTATACGAAAAATAGGTTGTTCGTTAGCCTGAATTCCATGCTCACTCAAACCCCGCATTCTACCCCGATGACAGACTTTATGAGGATTTTATTTTGGAAAAATGGCTGAAATAAGGAACCATATACTAGGTAATTTCGATCGTCTTTATGAAATCAATTTTCTATGTTATATAACTTCCCCTCGGTAATATTATTACACTAATGGAACCGGAAATATACATTTAAAAAGAAGTCCGGGTTTTATTGAATAACTATATTGGGAATGAAATTATCGTCCTTTGGATGACAAAAGAAGTTTCTGATTGAAAAATGAGATAAACATGCTTAAATCCTGTTAGCTGTCTAAACAACAAGCAGATGAGTACGTTTGTAACCCGTTAGACTGATCACGTGGAGGCGTCCGCCCAAGTTAACTTGGGTGGAAGGAAGTTGGTTACAAATTGCTCGCTTCTTTTTCAGCACTGGAAAACGTCATATCGTAAAGACTCTCGAACCTTGTGGTCAGTATGTGACTTTTGAGTAAGGAGGCTAGATAGTCATTTATGTTATTCATAAAACAAGTAAGAGGATGACTTGGTAAGAAGTTCTTTAACAGCTGACTTGGACGAAAATTTGAGAATTCCTGTTTTAACTATCCGCTTGTCAATCTGAGTCAATTTTTGTTTGTTTTTCACTTAGTAGGGTTTAATTTCCGTTAGTATGACCATTATTAGGCATTTATATACCAGTAACATTCTCAGATGAGTTTTGGCCTGCCCAATAAACTGATATTGGGTGGGAGTATATAGATAGTCATTTATGTTATTCATAAAACAAGTAAGAGGATGACTTGGTAAGAAGTTCTTTAACAGCTGACTTGGACGAAAATTTGAGAATTCCTGTTTTAACTATCCGCTTGTCAATCTGAGTCAATTTTTGTTTGTTTTTCACTGGGTTTAGTTTAATTTCCGTTAGTATGACCATTATTAGGCATTTATATACCAGTAACATTCTCAGATGAGTTTTGGCCTGCCCAATAAACTGATATTGGGTGGGAGTATACTCAAATTAGGGCATCAGCCTCTCTTTTTGGCAGACTTTTATTGGATCCCCACTCTGTTTAAGGCCCAAACAGCCGAAAATCCCGTAGTGGAATCGTAACCTCGTTCAGAACAAACTTGTATGTGTAGCAAGTGGTTATATATCTGTTTCGAAGCTTGGTGCACGGGAATAGGCACACTAACAGCGCATCTTAACCTCTAGTTAAAGGGAAGGTTCGTCCCCTGTTGTCCAGCGGGTTTTCCATTGGGAGCTGCTGGTTTGGTTATTGTTCACTTGGTAAACTACTGCAAATGCGTGGCGAAGCCTGTCTGCAGGTAGAACATTTCCTGGCAGCGGGTTCGTTTGTGAATTATGCACTGATCCCTTGTTCGTGTAGAGGGCTGTGCTGCGCCCCACAGCACTGCGGTGTACTGCATGTCTGCACCACCAATCCACGCACTGACCTAGATTAGTTACGTGAATGTTTTCTAGCTCAACAGTGGGCTTCCATCATTGACCTCTGTATTTTGGTACAAGCTGATGCTCTCACATGCTGAATAAGCATGGTTTCACAGAACTCTCTCTACATTTGGTGGGCGTGATCATACTGATACAGGCTCAATGACATGGTTGACCGTCATCCTCCCAGTCTACCTGCTCAATAGACAGTCTGAGGGTAAACTGCATAGTGCACATGAAATTTCTTATTTATTTTATTGAGTTACATGTACTGTGCGACCTCAGATTTTCACTATTCTGCAGGACACGAAATCTTTAATATGTGTGTAACTGTACCTGAAATTTCCCATTCTCTTCCAGAAAATTTGTTTTGGTGCCTTCGCACTGTCACATCGGGGCTGAGATTCGGTTATCGCACCATCGGTAAGTTCCACAACGTTGGACTTCGATGTTTAGATATAAGTATGACTTCGTTGCCCCCCTCCAGAAGTAGCCAATGAAGATGAGAACGGTGGTTTTCGTGAATTTTGAATCTAGAATCTAATCCTGCAGTTATGTTGTTACCAAATCAACCAAATTATGTTCTATTTAAGCAACGTCTGTTTTAGTCCAGAGAACCGAAACTAGGTCGACCCCAACTGGATAAAGTCAGCATTTGGATCTCAACTCCCCCAGTTTTCACTTGCCTGCCCAAATCCACCTTCTTTAAATACATTCATCACGAGTGAATGCACTGACAGTTCTGGAATTCTCTGGAGTACAACTCATAAAATCTTCGTTCTGAATACTCCGTCTACCGAATCCCCTATTCCCGCATCCTCGGTTCACTGATCTCCAAAATAATGAACACAGAATGGGTCCTTCATTTCAACTAAACTGTAAGGTGTGAATTAATTAGGTGAAGCTATCAACTAAAATTTCTGAAGCAAAGACCAGTAGCTCACAGAATGTTTGGTAATATGACAGACAAACCATTGGTCAGAGATGACAATAAAATTTAACTACTTGACATTCCACTTCCCTATGTGATTTTTCGGGCTTGCGGTCTTGTCATAATGGCAGAAAATAACACGTCCAATTCTGTGCAATCGCGTGACGCTCTAGGTATTATTAAGCAGTTTGATGTTTAGAAAGGTCCTTTTTCTAATACTTTGAAGACAAATTCACGGAGAATTGAGTAATCCGGTGGCAGGTTTTGAGGGCCTTCCTGCAAAGCAGCCGCGTTCCTGCTTTGAGTAGCCCAAAGTGTTGAAGGTCAGTGATCCAAAAAGTTGACAAACTGAAAACCCATAAACTGAAGATCAATAAACTGGTTCCGGTCATTGGAACTTCAGTGAACTCACTAGTGCCTTTGTAGACTGATGCATAGTGAACCTCCGTGAGTTTGCTCAGAGGTGTCCGTGCAATATTCCCGTCTCTCTGAGTGGTGGTGAGTGTGGCTTTGTGCTTATGAGTGGCTGAAGATCCGACCAACATTCTTTCCGCCTTCTACTGATACACATGGCGAGATACATGGCCAAAGCTTTGACTGTGGTTCCGTTCATCCTGAAGGGAGACCTAAACTTAGCAACCTCGAACCCTAGTAATCCAATTATGGGGAATTTCGAGATGCATTTGTGGTTTCCTGGTTAAAATGTTTCTCCATGGGGTCACTTTTTGGCTTATCAGGGCTCACCGCCGACTGTATGCACCCTTAAAAGTTTTTCAACGCATTGAGAATGAAGCTTGTTGGCTGACGGATACAATATATTCAGTCTGAACTTCTGAACATGTTCACTGTGGTACAGCGCCCTTAGTAGCAACGAAGATTTTATAAAATTGTCTGTTCTTCAAGTTTTGCTTCAGGACTCTTCTATATTATGGTCTACTCAAAATTTCAGATGCCGTGGTGAATATTAAACCAAAAACACCTACTGATGCTCATGACCAGGATGGGGCACCCACATATGCCGCCTCCTACAGATTCTCGGTGACCACTGTGAGTTATCACTAGAATGCGCCTATAAATTAGTCCGTAATGCATCCATTCGCTGTAAGTTCCTGTGTATAAACAACAATACGAGTAATTTTATACTAAAAACACTGTGTACATAGGCCATAACCGAGCAACTGTCTTTCAACTGCGCTTTCTAGGCAATGCTTTTAGAGAAAAGGACTATACAGAGCATGCTACCATGTCAATGATTTGGTTCCATTTTTCTCGCCGATGCGAACCTTCAGAGCACCGAAACCGCGTACTCTGAACATAGCTTGAACTTAAGTTTCTAAGAGCTGTTGAGTAATTAGGATATCAACAGACATGCTTAGGATGATCAACTGAAGTGTACCACACATATTTTCTGAGCTGCGTATGTATCAGTAATGAGTGTGATTTGGAATTGGCCTGAGTGAATTTGCACCTAGTCATTCACTGTCGCCACTCTGCTTGCTCAGACAGACTCAGCACACGGGTGCCTTAAGGCACGATAGATGTTGCTTTCATGACTAAAGATTACGGTATAGAATGAGAAGAATGTGAGGTGCGAGGTCATTTTGCATTCCACCGGCTTACTGAATCACCGGTTGTATTAGTGTTCTTATCTAGTATTGTGCGATTCTGTTTGCGTTCTTTAGAGCGCATATTTACTTATTTCATTGTTTCCAACGCCGAGATACTGTTAAGAAAATCGTATTATTTGTCAAAGTATTGATTGGTTTACTATTTCACCATTAGTCTGAATCGGTCGGTCCCTGTAACAGGCTTATTCTCCAATGTTACCTTATTAGAAGATCCCAAAACTCTCACAAAGTAGATTCAACATGGTATGCATTTACCTGAAAAAACTTCTGGTTTACGAACATACACAGTACATTTTGCTTTGCGGAGACCATGGCACTCTGTTTCTTATAGTGGTGCTGTTGACCTGTCCCCAACTGAAGCCGAATTCCTGGTTATATGAAGGCCAAAATCCGACTGCATATTCAGGTGTTGGTTCAGATCTCTTGATCCATGATATCATTATTTTACATTTATTTTATCACCGTATCACTAACATACTATGTATTACGGAATTTCTAAATAAAATGCATGAAAGAGAGTTCTGATATTTTACCTTCCGGATCATTCCGCTTTCAGCTGATCCAAGCTTTGGAGCGACTGAATATCCGCGATTTTGTATGGTATTTGATGCCAGTGGACTTCAGGTCTACAAGCCCGACCTGGAAAATATCGTTTGATTACTTATCTCTCGCAAAGTTCTTCAAACTGAAGAAGAAGACGATGATCCAAGCGAGGTTGAAAGAAGTTATTCAAACACTGGCACAAGAAAGGGATTTTGATTACACACTGGAAGTATTGGGTATGCCGTTATACAATTTTATACGCCCACATGTATTCCGTACAATCACTTACTGCGGAATTTTGCATGCAAGAAAACAAGCGACCAGCTCACTTCAAGTATAGAGTGTATGACTTTTCGTCACATGACATAACCAGCTTTGGTTTTGAACAAGCCAGATTTACATGCCGAATACCTATATCTCCGAAAAGAACGATTCCTTCTTTGATCCTAGCGGTGAGCCTGAAAGATGCACCTTTATAGCAACTGTGAACATTCATCCAGAAAGTAGAGACATCGGCACCTCTTAGATAAAAAGATCGGACAGTTGCTAATGCATCAGCAATTTTCCACAGCTTGTATCGTCAAACTGTCGAAAAAGCTTACTTTCTGGGTTGCTTTCTGATTGCTCATATATATATATATATATATATATATATATATATATATATATATATATATATATATATATATATATATATATATATATATATATATATATATATATATATATATATATATATATATCGCATGGATGCTCCGAGAACCAAACTGCCAAGTTAATACTCTTGGAATGATATCGTGAATGCAGGAGATTGTCTGTCTTACATACAGTGACAAAAGTTTCATTATTTTTTGTTCATAAACAGCCAGTCTGTAGGTAGTATAACGCAAGACAAAGCCACGGTATGATGCTTGCCTTGAGATGGTCATTAGGCATTTCATACCTACTATTAGATAGGCAAATTTACATAGCAGTCTTGAATATTTATGGAGCGAAACTGTTCGGCCACCTTTTGACTAGAAAAGCGAGTAAATTTTAGTGCACATTTTACAGTTGTCTAGTAATTTGCTTGAAGCTAAGTCTAGCACCCACTTTGTCCAATCAAACGCTGCTTTTTTCATAGTGGAAAAATTCTGTTTTGACAATAACTTAAAATGCGGTGCAAAACCTCTAGAGGCCTATAAAACATGAATCGCTCGAATTTCAGAATCTGGTGATCACAGTAGAGTGCGCAAATTAAAATGAGCGACCAAAAATGCGCTAACGGTTGTCCGCATGAATTGCGGGATCGAAAATTTCATCTTGATTTTACTTCCGTCGATGCGTTGCGACGCCAATCAAGTCCATCAATGCTTCGGAAACAAGCTACTTTCATCATTGCATGAAATCAGTAGCTTTATGTTTCTCACCGAACTTCAAGAGGGAAAACACGAATAATTACTTGAGAATAATCATTCGATTTGTGTATATCCTCCAAAGGTAGAAGCAAGAGAAATAAAAACGCCAAACTATGCTCTTGTGTTTTACACCACACACTCACATCCCTAATGAAACCCTAGCGCTCCTTTAGAAGAACGCTTGAGTTCGGTATCAGGTACGACTGTCTCATTTGCTACCCTTAATCTAAGGGTTGATAAGAAATAACTATACAGGATATTCTCACCTTGGTATCCAAGTAGATGAAGCATTGTCTTTACCACGTTCTGATTAACATGTACAAACAGAAGTGTCTGGTAAATAGTTAGCACCAACTGTAATCTTTCTCAAGTATTAACAGTAGCTTTCTGTGTTTTTCCAGTTAGGGTCTTCGAATTTGGAATTATCATGCGAAGTGTCACAGGAATCACTGTGTGAAATCTTACGTTACATGTGCGATAAGAATAGTACCTCAACAGTGTTCCAAGAAATTTTACGGTCCTGCAACAGGTACCTCTGTCGGGCTTCCATTACCCACTGAACAGCCGCTTTAAATAGTTGGTCGGAAAATGCATGAATGCACAAGCTAATATGCGGATTGGCAGTTTACGCTGAGGCCAGTAGGCTCCGCGAAAATTCTCGTCAACTTCATTATGTTGAAAACAGTTCGTTCGATTATGGGAGGTATCGCCCATCTATCATACTATATATGCTTGGAAAACGTGGGTAATGGCACAAAGTTTGTAAGAGAGCTGACTTCATCAAGCGTAACACGATTTTTGCGCGGTTGATGAAACTTTCCACTGGAAGTAACACTTTGATGACACATTAATTGGATATGGGAAATCTTGTCCTAGGCATCGTGTGATTTTAATTCAGTGGTAATAATGCCCTAGTTCTTCGGTTTACAACAAAATCCTCAGCCCATTATCGACACGACGTTATGGCCCACATGTATCGTCTCCAATTTGAAGACGTTTTGTGGGTATCTTCTGTTTTATTGCTTTGTGTATTGCCATCAATGACCAGGAAGAATCACTCGCCTTTCAAAAAACTGGGAAAACTAGGCAGATTTGTTATCTGGCGACGTTTTTAACTTTTCACACAACTTTTATTAGGTAAAGTGGATAGGTTAGAATGCTAGTCAAACTTTAAGGGAGCACAGAGACTAACCGCTAAGATATTCTCATACTATCATGCCAAAATTCTTGAGTCTCAAACTTTAAGGGAGCACAGAGACTAACCGCTAAGATATTCTCATACTATCATGCCAAAATCTCTTGAGTCTATCAAGCTTTATGTATGGGTCAGCAAGTGTTAAGGCCTATGGACTGACAGGAGTTTTGCATGAATTAAGATCGGGTGTGGTGTGCCTCTTCCGGTTTAAATTAAGTTCGTGTTCATCCCGAGCGTCATTTGCATTTTGTTAGTCCGTGTAGGTGAACTAGTGCTAAGACAGCTCTATAAATGGTGGGACTACTTGAATCTCAGAGGCTCTGGGCTTTTGTCATTTTCACTAATTATACTACTCGAGTGACAGTTGCAAGTTGTCACATGTCAACTCAGCTAAACTAACTTTGCCTTCCGTATGTTTGCCATCTGTGTACTCTTTGTTCTATATACATTGGGTTTTTTTTAAATTCCACCGTTTCAGCCATTAACGGCCGGGGTATAAATCGTAGTCCGAAAATGAGCATTCGGTAACCTTTTGACCAGATTATAAAACAAACTCTGTTTGTTGTATCAAAAGCTAACATAATTAACTTTGAAAACCGATTTCTTCGTTACTGGCCTGTCCTAAATCTATTTCGTTGCTCCACCTTCCTTAATGTTGTCGGAATTAGCTTGCGCTACGCTACTGAAACTCCGCGCACAAAGTACACTGTCGTTCCTCGAGTTAATTCCATCTATTTAATATTGGCTTCTCTATTTTTTTCATTCGATCAGCCTGATTTCGTTGAATAACTGTTGTGTAACATGTACACTCATGCCAGTTTTACCTGCTTTTTTTCCCAAGATACTTTCGAGAAGTACACGCGTAACATGTGCGGAGTGCCTTTAGTCATGCCAAAATGTGACGAAGAATACTGTGAGTCAAAGAATGTAAAAGATGACGAAAAGAAAAACAGTGATTATGTATAAATGACCCACATTTTAGGATAACGATAAATACTCCACGGGTACGCTTTTCAGATCCACGAGACAAAAGTCATCCCAGTGATTGTCGTGTTTGATTAAAACAAGTAAAATTCTTCGTTTTTTTCGTCACGTCATCACATGGCACGTGGAAAAGTTATTCGTTAATAAGAATGGAAAGCTTCCGTCCATCTGACTGAAATCAAGTAATCTTTCTAGTAATTTCTTATTTCTAGTGGCACGTTAAGTCCTGACACACATTTCTGCACTAGCAATTGTACACAGCTCGCCATAATTTTGCAAGAATGAGTCATCTGTTTATTTTTATTGCCGATATGTATATTCAGCCCGTGGGTACGCTCCAGTCCAAGGTCCGCTAGACATGTCAACATGATGTGATGTATCCGATTACCCCATACGATTGTACCGTAAAGCCAGTCACATATGCATGCTGTCACAATGGGAAAGCACACATTAGTCTATACTAGGCTATACTAATTTGATGAAGAGAAGTATCCCTTGGCTTCATCCCTGTGCGCAACAACACAAGTTTCTCAAGAATTACACTTTATCTGCTTTACAAAGGTCCCAACAGGCTTACCATGTGGAAGCACATTACTTTACCAGACGTAGGCTAATATCTTCAAGCGGTCATCCCATTTGCTTTTTTGTATGCCTGAATCCTTATTTTCAAGTTACAGCCAGCGGCAGCAACCTCTATTCATGTGGCTCTCCTACAAAAGTGGCTTTATACTGGAAGTACGGAGGATTCTATCTAAAAGAGTGTGGATTTTCGAGTTTGGAAATAAATGTTTAAAAAAACTATATTCCCATTTCATTTTAGTAAACAACGGAAATGAACAGAACGGAAGCCAAATTGATCTTATTAGAATCCAGCTCTGTTTAACTGAGTTGCTCACTTTTGTTTGAAGGCTGGGTGTTTTTGTTGTGAACGGGAGAAACTTTCTGTAACAAATCCGGTTTGACCAGCTTGTTTAATTTTTATTCAACAAGACAAATCTAGAATTTTTAATACTTATGACATAGTTCAGCTAATTGAGATAATACAATCATTTGAGCATCAATTAGTTGCAGGATTTTGCACCCTTTAGCACCCACCTGACAGATGTTCTGTGTACATTACTTACCTCAGGTTTTGAGCTAACTTCCTATTCTGGTGAGTTTAAAACTTCCAACGGCATACTGAGCACGAAACGTAAAGAACTTTATTTAAATACCCGGCATCTGAACCGGCAAAATTATCGATGATGAACTGAAACTCATCTACAGAATTTTCATGGAAAACCTACAGGTACAGCAATTAATGAAGCGATACCTCAAATTCAGGATCAAATGAGAGACTACAAGAATCTCATCATTCCCAAACTACACAACATACGAAAAAACAACCTATCGCTTTGATTCCATTTTGAAACGGATGTTCAACGCGGTCTAGCAGAGGGTGCAGCAAGAAATTTTAACAGGGATCCAACGTTCAAGACCAACCTAAAAGGTTGAACTGAAAATCATCAGGACTTATTTAATTGTTTGTTTGCTGTTGCTTAACAAACTAAGTAGGTTGTATGGTTTAGCGGCCATCTAAAAAAATTGTGAACACAAGTCAGACTACTTACTAACTGGTCTTGCCCTGGGAGGTGACCAGTGCAACCGTCGACTCCAGCTGTCAGAGCAATGAGGAGGAGCAGTTCAGAGTGTTTACCGTGTAGCCCAAATGATTACAAGTCCGCTCACCAAAGAGCCTTATAAACAACTGCTGTGGACTCCTGGACTCCTAGACTCATCATTAAGTGAACTAAAAAGCACATGATGGTTTCAATATTACTCCGGCCACTAACCAATCCTCCACAAACAAACTAATCAAATAGTTTCCATATTTTATAACTTTTAAGCTTCCATCACTTTTATAATTCGATCCCGTACTTTATAGCTAGGGACAATACCAGGGCCGTATATAAGGAAATATTGGCTCTTGTGTTTACAACCGTCCAACCAAAAACACTCCCTAAACCTTCTTTGCGACCTCTATTTGGTCATTACAATGCTCCCGTGATTTCACCTCACACAACCTGAGGAAGAGTAATCAAGGGATTTCACTGCTGGCTGGAAGGCTTCCGTTCTAATTTCTCACTTTTAAGCCCTAATGGAGGAGTCGCGTGTATGTTGATGGAACGTTGTCCGGAATAGGTGTTCTCAAATCGCAGTGAAATTCAGATCGTTGACTTTATATACTTGGCCGATGTTGACCTCAAGGACGCGCCGTTCTTTGCACATGTGTTGTGTTCATATCAGAACGCGTTCTGACAGCACTGAAACAAGAAATTCGCTCTAATGTATCAGGGGTTTTGAGTATTTTATGGTTTTTCACCGGAATCCGGTATGCTGGGAATTTGAATGTTCTCAGTCAGGGGGGGGGGCAGAAGAATCCAGGGAAATTTAATTTGTAAATGAGCCTGTCATTGAACATCTCCTGGACGCAGAAGACGAGCAAAGTGAACAATTACAATGGCTTGGATGCCACATATATGTTGTGTATTTAAGTTGTTCAACACAAAATTCGCATTCGGAATCGTCTGGAGCGCATTGATCGGTCCTCCACCGAACAACTGGTCCCACTGTTCACCCACGACCGAGACGGTATTGAGTTTTCAAAACAAAACCATATTATACGCTTGAAACACTCGACCGTTACTACCGGCTAATAAAACCACCCGGGCTTCCGTCTACATTCACGTAACACGTGGTGTACTCAACCTGATATGCGTGTAATTTTTTCCGTCACATATCTTGAAACCATCACATGGCACAAGGATTACAATTAAGAAAGTGTGAATGTAAATGTATCCTTGAATTCCTGAAGGCAGACATTTCACGATTCATATCTCTCTTTGACTTTTAAGCCCCGGAGGGTAAGTCATAAATTAGGAAATTTCATTGTATTTGCATCAGTACTGAAACAATTAGCAGAGAGTTCATGGTAGGAAATCCAAACGGACTGGCGACACTTCGTTATAGGCAGAAGCCACGTTAGTGAGAAAGCGGATAAGCTGAGTGACTTCTGGTTCACAGCTTCTGGTACTTACTCGGAAACTGATTGCTTTCAGATCTCCCCACGGCTACATTATCACAGAAGACAAATTTGTATTGCGTAGAGAATACTTGGACCTTAATGTGAACACAAAGTGTATCGCACGAACTCTCCAGATGAATAAACCCAGACGGGATCATTTAGGCCACCATTCTGACCGTTCTCACGTCGTCAAGAAAACTTCGGGTTATCT